GAAGAAACCCAAAAAATATATTATATTCTTTTTTATTAGCATATCGTATCTATCAAATTTTTTCGTAAATTTCCTTTACTCGGTAATATAATCATTTATCTCAGTTTTAAAATAATCCAGTTGTAAGAGCATTCGTACTGACCTCTGTTATAAAAGCCTCATGCAATTGAGGTTAGTGTGAATTTACAATTTATAAAAGTTTGACAAGTATCCAGATACTTTTGGCAGCGTACGGTAGATGGCGTTGCACTAAATTATTGAAAAAATTTTGAAGTTCATACGAATACACAATTTAAAATATTGTTTATTCACAGATTATAGACAAAAATTATATTAAACAGTCTATACTAGCTTAGTTTATGGCACGAAATAAATTCTTTCTCTTTTCAAAAAAAATGTCAACTCCCGCACTATTAATACATCCTGTGTCGCGGGGGACTTTACAAACATTCATGAAACGGACACAAAGAACACCCAGACTCAGAACAACAATTTGTGGATCACACAAAATGTCGTCCCATGTGGGGACCGTAACCCACAACACTCAGCGTCACCACTACGCCATCCGTGCAGTCTACTGCTTGAACAGTAGCATAGATTTTTTAATTATCTACATACCTTTTGTGCAGAAATATATTTCTTAACTAGCTGAGACACGCGGTGTTACCCGCGTTTGTTGTAACGCCGCGGGATTAACCGTAGTAGTAGTATGAATAAATAGCCTAAGTTATGTCATCAGCTATCTGCCAGTGAAAGTCCCGTCAAAATCGGTCCAGCCGTTCCAGAGATTACCCGAACAAACAGACAGACAGACAAAAATTTAAAAAAAATGTTATTTATTTATTTATTAGGGTTAACAACAATCCTTAAAAATAAATATTACAGTTTAAATTTCTACAATCAGGTGAAACCAATTAATGTTAACCACGTATGCAATTTTGATTTTAATAAAAATTGCCCAGACTTTGTCACAGCAAAAATGTAAAAAAATAAATTTGAAGCCAAAACATAAAATATTAAAACTAATAAATTAAATTACAACTAAAAGAACAGTGAGATAATATTCTAGGCAAGCAGTGTGCTGAACAGAGTGTGTGTGTGTGGTGCGTGTATGTGTGTGTGTTGTGCGTGTATGTGTGTGTGTGTGTGTTGTGCGTGTACATATGTGTGTGTGTGTATGTGTTGTTTTGGCATATGTACCGTGTAAACATACATATGCATTTAGTAAAAAGCGGTTATTTTAATATTACAAACAGACACTCCAATTTTATTTATTTGTATAGATATTTAGTTCCTTTTATAACTTCAGATATTGCAACATATCTACAAAACCCTATGGTAGAGTGATAGAGAACTCTTATCGCATTAAAATTCAACATATTCCTATAGTGTCGGCTGAGACGTCGGATTGACATTCCAGTGGTGTCGGGTTCGAATCTCACCCACTACCGAAGTAAAGCTACTACTAACTAAAATGGTGATTAGTCCTAAAAAGAAAAAAAATATTTTTGTAATTCTCCTACATTGTGTATTTTACTAAACATGTATTACTTCAAGAAAAACATTACTGTAACCGGTGTTAGGCAATTCTTTCGTTGCCTTTCACTGAGTGAATGAGGTTACCGGAGCCCAAATCCCCCCTCTCGCTGACTCTAGCGAGAGGGACTCGTAGGTCAGCAACGCACTTGTGACTTTTGAGTTGCAGGTGTCCATGGGAGGCGGTAGTTGCTTACCATCAGGCGACCCGTCTGCTCGTTAGCCCCCTTTTACCATATTTTTTTTTTTAACATATATTCACAAAATTAGCCAACACTAAAAACTATTTACCTAATATACTTATTCTTAAAATAACTTAAAAACCTTTAATATACTCGTACCTAGCGCGCGTAAATATATTGTTTACTAGGCAATACTGGCTGAGGCTCGGGTTCGATTCCCGGGTCGGACCAAATGTTTGTGTGATCTGCAAGTATTTGTTTCGGAGTTTGGGAGTTTTATATGTATAATATGTATGTATTTACAAAAAAAAGTATATAAGTATTCTATCAGTCAATCTAGCTCTCATAGTATAAGCTATCTGCTTAGTTTGAAACTAGGTGGCGTTGTGTGTCAGATGTCTAAAATATAATATTATTTTTGTATTGTACTACTGCACTCTTGAAGTAGGTAAGGAACAAAAATTTCAAATTTAGAACTCTCTCGAATCAGCTACCCTGCTGCCGTAAATAGCAACAAATCCCTGGCGCTCAGACGAAACAAATAAAGAAAAAAAACAAAAACACAATTTCTACATTTCAAATTTTACATTTAAGTACATTATTTCTTTAGAAATAAGGTCTATATTACCCTTAGCAAATAGTTTTAGTAACGCATTGTATTGTGGTAGTTTGTTTCGTGTAGAATGCGCTTATTCTCGGAGCGGATGACAAAATTCGAGTAGGTATTTGTAATTTATCTATTTTAAAGTTTGACCACACGCAAGGTACAGTTTTTTTTTCTAGAAATGTGTATATTATATACGCATGTTTATTTCACTACTTATTTATGTTATTGAAGTATCCACTTGAATTGCCGGGTTTTTATTATGAGGAAGATAGGGTTGCCACATCTCAAATAGTTTATCGTGGTTGAAAAATAAGCTGAAAGTGAGACTACGTGTAATAAAATAAAATTCTAATAGTGTTGTTGTTTCTAAATTCTAATAGTCTCCTGTTTTTAGGAGGGATAGAAATAGAAATTGATAAAAAAAAATCTTACACATTGTTTATTACTGTTAAGTTTGTAAAAAAAAATATTTCAATTTTTTTTTCAAAAATTACAACATGAAAAATCACATTTTTTGAAGCACTGAAAAAAAAAGTTGCGCCACGGTCGGCAGTATTTCTTCCTCAAATGTTGACGGATCTGCAAAATGTAAAGAAATTGTTGTAAAATAAGGTAGTAGTTATAGTCTGTCGAGCCGGATTTTTGAAATTCGAAAAATTTAACAATTTAAGGGTAATTTAAGCAAAAATGTTAAGTTTGTGTTAAAAAAGTCACACTTTAATTGTTTTTATAAAATTTTCTAATTATAATTTTAAAAATCCGGCTATAGAAAAAACAATTCCGAATATTTAAAGAAAAAATCATCAAAAAATATTAAAAACCGTACGAGTTATCATGCCGACCGTGTCAGAAAAAGCGCGTTTCGCTCGAAGTCGCGCTCGGCTGGAGCAAGAACTTTATGTTTTTTTTTAATTTATTTAGTTAACTTACGTCTCCCGTTCCAGCTTCATATTGTACGCCTTCCTTGTCAGTAAACTCAACTCAGGTAGGCGCGCGTCACACCTTTGTCCTTTCGTCGGGCAGTCACATTATCTACAATAACTTTTGAACTATGTGGAATTTTTACTATCATAAATATAAGGAATCAATAAGTATAAGGAATCATCATCCGTGTGGTGACGGATTAAGAATACAAATTGTCACCACCCCAATTCATCCCGTGGGTGTCGTAAGAGCCGACTAAGGGAGCAAACTAAGCAGGACAACAGCACTGCAAAGAGAAGGAAAACTTGAAACAAACCCTATACCAACCCGTCTGGCCAGCGTGGTATAGTAGGCCAAAACCTCCTTTCTAAGGAGAGGCCTATGTCCAGCAGTGGACTAGTATAGGCTGTTGATGATGATTGATGATAAGGAATAATAATCTGTAAACAAAAAAAAACGATTTTTTGAAAGTTCTCGACGTATGTAAGGCCTAAGTACTTTTAAATATATTTCAGTTCAGTTATAAGTCCAGGGAATTGTCTTTAAAAGACATAAAAAAAAAAACTTTTCACTAAAGCTTCCATTCGACTTCCACCGATTGGCGGCAATAGGCTTGTTTTATTTCGTGAGTATAATAAAAACCGGCAGAATATTAACCACAAACGAGGGTGAAACTCACTGGAATAATGTTTGCTAAATATAAACCAGTATACCTACTACTAAATTTAATTCGAAATTATATATTCAAATTCAATATCTCGGTTTCATAAAATTACTAACCTATCATTCCAAAACGCGGCCGTGCGTCGTCGTGTGTTTTATAATTATATAATCAAAACTAGCTGACCCGGCAAATGTTATTTTGCCATATACATTATTTAAAAAAAATTGTAAAAAATATAAAATTGGTGTATGAAAAATAGATGTTGGCCGATTCTCAGACCTACCCGATATGCACACAAAAGTTCACGAAAATCGGTTAAGCCGTTTCGGAGGAGTTCAACCACGCAAACCGTGACATGAGAATTTTATATATTAGACTAACTGAGACCCGCGGTGAGGCAACGCCGCGGGGCGAAGCTAGTCTAAAAAAGTAGCCTAAGTTACTCCTTATGTCATCAGCTATCTGTCAGTAAAAGTCCCGTCGAAATCGGTCCACCCGTTCCAGAGATTACCCGGAACAAACAGACAGACAGACAGACAAATTTAAAAAAAAATGTTATTTTGGCATATGTACCGTGTAAACATGCATTTAGTAAAAAGCTATTATTTTAATATTACAAATAGACACTCCAATTTTATTTATTTGTATAGATTGTAGACGAACACACGTAGTCACAGTAAAAGTTTGCTTTGTCTATGTAAAACAACGAGTCATAGAGTAGTCGCATGTTGTTATCATGTCACTGTATAACATCTTTTTTTTTTCCGTGCGGAACTGTATAACATTTGACATCTCACCTAATATGTGACGGATGGGTAATTGGCACTCCACCACAGAACGCTTTACAAGAAACCTTTTTGCTTCGCACAAATAATCTCTGGACTAAATACATGTCACCTTTTTTTTACGCATGTAAACCCCGTCTGGCTTGCGGGGTGGTGTGTTGGAATCGGACCGACTAAAACCACACGGTGTGCCACTCTGCGGCTGTAAAAGAAGGTGCTCCGGGAACTACTGTTATTAAGACATCCGGACCGCGGCAGGCTTTTTTGTCCCTTAAATGATAAAAAACAGCTTTTGATGCGCAATGTGTCAGGCATCATCATACATCAGGCAAATAATCAATACAGGTCCGGTTGGCGCGGCGGTCAGGCCTGGAGTGCCAGCGGTAGAATGGGAGCAGCGTGGTTTCCTGGTACCCGAGACGGCGTGCTGCTTTTGGTCAGTTCGAGTCCGACATAACCACCGGTGGGTGGTATCCGAGGGGATTTCCGCACAGTAAAAAAAAGGTGGTCATCTACAAGTCGTAGATGACCCGGGGTCCGTCGGGGTATCAGGGATTTCCTTTGTAGGTTACACCTACTGGTGCTACTGGTGCCCGAGACGGCGTGCGGTTTTTGGTCGGTTCGAGTCCGACATAACCGAACGTTGTTTGGGTATAAATATTTATTTAAATGTTATTATAGGAAAAGGAAAGGTACTTCGCATGACCAGGAACGAACTTTGACCTTGTACTGTGTTCTACAACTTACCTACAATATGAATCATTTACTCATCACTATAAATAACTTGTTTTATTGTATACATTCTGCTCATCTTAACATCAATATCAAAATGTGTGTCTGAGAATATTAGTTTATTAAAAACTTATTTTAGTCGAATTTATTATAGGGCAACTTAAATTGTTTTTTTTTTATTATTTAAGAGAGTGTTCCAATTATAATCGCAAACGAATTACTTACTTAAAACTTAAAACTTTTACGAAATTAAACCAAAATTCTTGTTTCTTACAAATTATATAACAACACTCGAAAACGAATTTAAATTTGGAATGATAAATTCATTCCAAATTTAAATTCGTTTTCGAGTGTTTAAACGAATTTAAATTTGGAATGAATTTATCATTCCAAATTTAAATTCGTTTTCGTGTGTTGTCAATTAAAAATTTCAAACATTTTATTCATAACTCATCGTCACCTAAGGAATTTATGAAAAGAATAGAAAATAAAATCTTCGATATTTGATTTAAATACATTATAATGTTATTATACAGAATATTCTAATACTTAGAAACAGAAATTAATAGAGAGGAATATGTATTTTAAAAACATAAGTATTTTTCCGCACCAAAAGAAGAAAGAAAGAAAGGATGTATTTATTTAGTTTTTACACAGTTATTACTCAGAATTTAATAGAATAACGTAACGCTAATAATTGTATTCTGATTTTTTTGTAACAGTTCAAACTCAAACTCAAACTTTCTTTATGTCAGAATTTTTTTACAATTGTTTGAAATCGTCTTTTATGTAGTTTTAACGTTTCCAACGTTATCTTAATACTAATAGATACCAAACATACACATTAAACCGTCGGCGTTGGTCCCGGTTGCCGTGCGAACATCTGTGGGAATCATTACGGGTAGCAAAAGCCCTAAAAAGTCCGGTAACAGTCTTTCTACAGAACTTCGATATCGCCTAGTACTTGGGTTGTGGAGATCTGATGGCAGTCGCTCATAGTAGACTGAAGCTCGACCCCAACCTTATTGCCATATCCTTAATATTCCACACTAGCTGACCCGCGCAAATTCGTCTGCGTCTCTCAATAGTAATAAATTTTCTCCGTTTTTGAAACATTCTTAATTGGTGCTCCGATCCTATTGGTCTTAGCGTGATGATATATAGCATATAGCCTTCCTCGATAAATGGGCTATCTAACACTGAAAGAATTTTTCAAATCGGACCAGTAGTTCCTGAGATAAGCGCGTTCAAACAAACAAACAAACTCTTCAGCTTTATAATATTAGTATAGATACCGTATTTTTTATTCAAAAAATCTATTGTGTGCAACCGTACGCCATGGAAATTGAAATTATTGGAAGTAAATCGCCAGTTTATTAAAGAGAGGAAAGTAATCTCAGAAACTGCTGGTTCGAATTTAAAAATTCTTTTAGTGTTGGATAGCCCATTAATCGAGGAAGACTATAGACTGTGTATATTATATATATATATTAACATTACGACAAACAGGGGCCGAGCGTCAACGAAAAATGTTACCAAAACGGGCCAAATTTATTCCTTTTGAGACGTCGACGAAGTTGCGCGGGTCAGATAGTTTAAGAGACCGATTAAATACAGCTTATCAAAACTACGACTTTTTGTTTCTTATTTAAATATAACCAGTTTGGTCCAATTATACATGCAAAAAATCATAAGCGACTCCGCATTTTAAAACTATATAATGTTATATTAAATTTATATATATGTATAGGTAGCATTGGCGAGCAGAAATGTTAACGGCTCAATAATAAATAATCACTTGTGTCGGATATACGCGTGTGTTCTACCAAATATTTCACAATCCCGCCTTTCCGCCATTTTCGAATTGCCTTCAAAAATAAATGTGTTTAGTAACAATGGCGATTGAATTAGTGAATATCGATTAATCTATTTAAATTTTTAATGGACTGTTCTCGAAACAAATACGTATTATAATTTTAAATTGGTTTTTAAGTGAACTGAATGTGATATCATTTCTTCTTAATCCGGAAGTCATTAGATCGTTATAGTCCTGTGATCATTCTGTGTCATGGCCACTGAGACGATCGGTCGGCGACCACAATAGTTCATTTTAAACCAAGCAATATTAATCAGTTTGCCATCGGAAGGTGTCGACGTATGTCCAGTTCCTATATGTTAAACAAAACAGCATTATAAACATAATTGTAAGTATTTTTTATCTGTATAATTTATGTTGTAAAGAGTATTTACCTCGTGAACAGAGAGGACCTATTTGTAATGTCCTCTGTCCTCAGACTGTGTTTTTATCAATTTTATAGCTTGGAATGTAATTCATACGACCGCGGCCTAAAGATTAAGTATAAGACATAAAGTTTTTAAACATTAACTCTTTTGTAGTTTTAAATAACTTCAATTGTTTTTGTAGCTAATTTTATTTGAAAATTTATTTAAAACTTTAATTTTATCCGGGCTAAAGTTTCTAGACCAGATTTAATGGATACACTTTTAATAATTCGTATTTAATTTTCTTAAGAAAGCGTTTTACTAGTTTTTAAGACAAGAAAAAGTTTTATCTGTAAAAAATTTAAATTTTTAAACAAAAACGTTAGTTAATTACTAAACATCTCGTATTATTTTAAAAAATAATATATATTTTAGTTTTAAATATTAAATATATTTGTATATTGTTCGTATACAGTTATATAACAACTCCTCACTATGTTAAAAATATACGGATGCCATGCCATGGAAACAAACCCAAAATTTTCCACTCGGATTGGTTAATATTCAGATAGGCGGACACGAATAACGGTATCAAGAGTAAAAAGAAACTTGAATAACTTTATTTATAACACTTTTATCACTCAATATCATCACCGTCATCACTTTTCTGTCCGTTCCTCAATTTTATTTGAGGTCCGCGCAATGCGTAATTCGGAAAAAAAAGATGTGGCTGGTTTCTTTTATGGCCGGTAGCATGCCTGACGCTAACTCTCCTTGGAAATGTAACAATTTTCAGAAGGCACAAAGGAAAAAGATATATTAGGGTAAGGATAACGGATAGGGTGAGGGAACTAGGGTAAAGGATATCGCAAGTCTCGGATGGGGAAACATGAATGAGACTACATTGGCTCGAAGAGTCTGACGTAACCATATCCCGTCCTGTGATCGAGGAAGCGACTAGGACAGGGTCATTGACTGGTCATTTTATCAATTAATATATCTATCTATCAACATTATATTCTTACCTGTTTAAATGTTGATGTTTACTAATCTACTGTCTGAAAACAATAACCCGGAGAATAAAAAATAAGAATCTACGTAGAGTAACTTATTTAATTTTTAATTGTAGTAATTGCAGATTATTTTATACCAATATTGAGACTTTATCTATATTAAGATACTTTATGAGCTTGCAACAAAACCCAGTTGGTAATCCTGTCTAGTGACCTATCCAATCACAGGACGGACATACGAATATACAATCCATATGTATTCGAGTTACTAGACTTAGACCCATTATTCTCTCCTAGATTTGCGGTCTACCTTACCTTGCCTCCCGCGCCCTATCCGTTTATATTTTTCCATGTTGCCTTTGTCCTTTATGCAAACCCTTACCAAAGAGGGTTTCCATAGGTCGGCCATAAAAGAAATCAGGCAAAACTTTTGTAGTGTTAAACATTGCACCGATCTCAAATAAAATATTGAGGATGTGCTTGCAAGAACTGATACTTACATGGATATTCAGATATATTAATTACATTAACTAACTAAAAATCGATTGACTAAATATTACCCGTTTCCAAACCACAGAGATCTTATGTCATAGTGACAAGTACCTATGCATAATTATATATCTACATATAAACTGAAATCAAAGTTTCATAAATAATTCAATTTGTTACTAATCTACATTCAAAATGTTTGAAAATGTTAATCAAACACTAAAATGTATCTCCTAAAATGTCATAAATGTTGTAAATGAAGATTTTTTTCATCCTAATTAATGAAATGAATACTATTAAAGTTTGACTTTCGCGCCTAAACTACCATCCACTAATTTTCACAACTGTTAATGGTACAGAAAAGCGTATAGTATTTTATATACAAACATAAATACTTTTCCTAGTAATACTTAAATTAAGTAACAAAATATTACTTAAATAATACTAACCGCTAGTTAATTTGAAAATAAACATAGTAACAAATATTTTGACACGACTGTCGTTTAAGTCAAAGACAAAACAGAACATGATGTAACCATAGATCCGAATATTGAAATAAAAAAGGACTACTAATGTAAAGTAACTTAAGAATGTTATGAGATACACCACTGCATGCTGCCTGTTTTTTTTTTTTCGTTTTTTTCTTAATTTATACATTGAATAACTTGGACTCAATATCGTAGGAATTTTCCTAGAGTCCGCCATGCTTTATATATATTATTAGTATACAAAATGTAATTGGTGTGTTTAGAATAAACGAATCGTCAGGACTGTTAAAGGTGGCAGGGATAATTGAACTATTTATTGGTACATCCGAGCGTGACATAAATTAAAGAACCAGTTGTTTAAATATGTGTTCTAGATATCATATTAATGTTAGGTAATTAAAAGTTACAAACCTTGTTTATTTTTACTAATTAATTAACACGTCCTCACGACGTGATCAATAGGTTTATTTCTTCTTTCACTAAGCACGGAATTTTTCTTAAAAGTTATAAGTAGAATATTCCAGATGTGGCTTGGAAAAGAAGGAGATCTTTTGAATTTTGATTCTCCTTTATTAAATACTAGATGACCCGGCAAACGTTGTTTAGCCATATACATTATTTCTAGGAAATATTAAAAAAAAAATTGGGGTGGGTCACCCTTTTCATTTAAGGGTATGAAAAATAGATATTGGCTGATTCTCAGACCTACCTGAAGTGCACATAAAATTTCATAAAAATCGGTACAGCCGTTTCGGAGGAGTATGGTAACTAACATTGTGACACGAGAATTTTATATATAAGATCAAAACGTTGTAGACTACCATTGTATGAAACTATTATTTTTAAGTTAAATAAGCTTTTTTTTTAAACAGACAACTCCTGCATTAGGAGTATATTCTGTGTCGCAGGGGACTTTAAAAACATACATGAAACGGACACAAAGAACACCCAGACTCAGAACAACAATTTGTGGATCACACAAAGTGTCGTCCCATGTGGGGTTTGAACCCACAACACTCGGCGTATTAGGAAGCGGCGTGGCGACCGCTTATTTTCGTGCAGTCTAGTCGTTGTGTAAGTGGCGTACCTGTGTCTTTTTGAGAATAAATTCTTTAATCCTAACCTAAGTAATCAGGCATTAAAATGATGAATTATGATATCATAATTCATCATTTTCCTGCCAGAGTATCACTAATAGATATCTATTGGTGATACTCTTCAAATAGTTTTAACAAGCTATAAAATTTACCTGCTTAATTTTTACTCGCTCACAAGGACAGAGATATTAATGGTCCTGCCGATACCAAATAAATTTGGGAGTCAGGAAAGTGATGATGATGAAGATATTTTAAGTCATTTATTTATTTGGTTAACTCACAGCATATATATGTAACATTAATGGTATAATCTAAGTAATAAGGTTCTGATATACATGCCACTTACGAGCTAACACAGCATTCACAGTTTAGACCGCATAAAATCACATTGATATATAGGTATTACAAACTTAACACTATTGGTCTGGTGAGTTTAGTTTGAACAATAATTTGTTTTACACATTTACTCATACTCTAAGCTCCGGCTGCAGAATCAGTGAGTGTTCATCGAGTGTTTGTTGAAAACCAAATGTTTACGCACGACGCATGCGCAATGGCTTTAAAGCGTCGTACAGCTGGCAATCGCTATCCTCGTCTGACTAGTGATTTTACGCGATAACTCACTTTCACTCTACCTTAAATATTTACCATCTTTAACAGTCAGCAACCCTTATTTGCGGCCAGATTTAATTAAGCAACCGTATATCATAATAAACAGAAAAAAATAGCTTTAATTAGAAATATAAATAATAAATGTACGTTATGAAGTATCCGTAGTCCGTGTGGTGACGGATTAAGAATACAGAGTGTCACCACCCCTATTCATCCTGTGGGTGTCGTAAGAGGCGACTAAGGAAGCAAACTACGCAGGACAACAGCACTGCAGAGAGAAGGAAAACTTGAAACAAACCCTATACCAACCCGTCTGGCCAGCGTGGTATAGTAGGCCAAAACCTCCTTCCTAAGGAGAGGCCTATGTCCAGCAGTGGACTATGGGACTAATCCCACCCACACGCCCACCACTGTAACTCCTGTACACCAGGATCCACAGCAGTGACCCACGAACACAACGAGTTATGACACTCGGGAAGTCCCAGGAAGAAATTAAACTGTCTTGGAACCCGCAACGAAATTAATCAGAAGAAAATTGGAGGAGTTGGAAATACAGTAAATCCACTTCCCTCCTTAGCAAAGCGGGAGACAAAATGAAGTAAAATAGGCATACACCCTTTTAAACAGGGAAGCACCACGGCCACAAAATATTACGGGTCCTACATGAGCTATATTTGATTTCTATAATATGTATGGCAGAATCGCCTAAACGCACGGAAATTCACCCTAGTTGACACAAGATCCCCATAGTATACCGCCCCAGATGTCACCTGCAAGCTTTCAGCATTATATTACGTTCATTATACCAAAGACTACATTCCCAGAGGATATGATGAGCAGACTGTTCATAATGACTAGCCTTTATTAGTGGACTAGTAAAGGCTGTTGATGATGAAGTATAAATGTCTCAAAATCATACCTGTTTACACCTGGCTGCTAAGAGGTGCGGCCAAGTGCGCAACCGCAACCGTGATTTTCAGTTTTTATATCATTCTCCTAATCATAAATATGCGTAAAAATTTGGATTTTAGCAAACACTCTATGAGTGCACTAATTCTGCAGCCGGATCTCGTACTATCAAGTCTGTATCTCCGAAGATCCTTGGCAAAGATTGTCCAAACTGTAGTTGTGAGCCCTGAACAGGTCACTTAAGGTCAGGAGTTGATTTGAGACAGAAAATTGAAAGTATATTAACAGAAAAATATCAAATGTATTTTAAGAGCAGACGGGACACGTGATGGTAAGTGATGACCGTCGCCCATGGAATTGAATGCCCGGATGGCGTAGTGGTTTAGGCGGTCGCCACGCCGCTTCTTACTGCGCTGAGTGTTGTGGGTTTCATTTTCATATGGAACACCACTTTGTGTGATCCAAAAATTGTTGATCCGAGTCTGGGTATTCTTTGTGTCCGTTTCGTGTATGTTTGTTAATGACTCCCGCGACACAGGATATATGCATCCTCATGGTAACTAGAAGGCCAATTCTCGTAGTAAAAGTTCAATCGCAATTCAGTGCCGATCAAGTTTCGATCTCACAACTGTCAAAAAAGGTATTTTTGTAGTAAAGTATTAAACATCAAACGTTGACTGTAATGTGATTATATCGTATTGTAACCGAAAATTTAATCAGTAATCTGCTAGTCTTAGTAACACTTAACTATTTTACTAAGAAATATCTTTTTTGACAGTTGTGAGATCGATTGCTGATCGGAACTGAATTAAGACCGAACTTTTATTACGAGAAATGGCCTTCAGGTGACGAATCTGCTCATTGGCATCATCATAAAAAAAACTCAACAGAAATATAACAACTGAACTTTATGTTTCAGAGTATGTTGTCTCTGGAGGAGCTGGCTGTGCGCCTCTTCGACGTCGGCGCAGTGCGTCTGGGCGATATAGAAGCAAAGATTGGCAGGCGCACACCAATCTATTTCGACCTGAGGGTTGTGGTGTCACGACCAGAGATCATGGTAAGAAATAACATCACACATCACATCAACAGCCTTTAATAGTCCACTACTGGACATAGGCCTCTCCTTAGAATGGAGGTTTTGGCCTACTATCGCTCGCTGCGCTCGTGCGCCTAAATATCTCGGGCTGCAATTGATGCCTTACATCCCTGGGCTACTAATCTACTTTTAAAATATGAGATAAAATAAATTACTTACATCGTTACGCTATGCTAAAAAATAATGCTTCCTGAATATACATTTAAACTCCTGTGCAAGCATATTTAGAACCTTACTAGCGATCTGCCCCGGCTTGGCACGGGTGCAACGTAGATACTACTAACACTATTAATGTGGAGTCAGTGTGGAGTAATTAATTATACTATTATTATGATAGAACTATACTACAGGACATCTTTAAATGCAATATTTATAGGCCCGCTCCGATCCTGCCCGTCGCTGCCACCCCGGACGTACGGTACGGCTCGACGGTCGTTGGGACCCGTATTTTAAACCTCCAATATCTTCTAAAATATTCATTTTAATAATATGCTGCTGTTCATATCATTAAAGTTTTAAACTACATTAAATGCACAACATATCCAACGTATTTAGTTGGATAATCAATAATAATGTAATAATATTATTTTAACGGGAATTAACGCGATCTCTTGACGTTTCGACCAAGTTGCACCGGCCGTGGTCACAGGCTGACTGACAGGCAAACCAGAGGTATGTAATACCCTAAATAAGAGATCGCGTTAATTCCCGTTAAAATAATATTAATTATCATGGAACGCGAAAGTTTAAAAGTTAGTATAATAATGTATTGTTTAAAATAGCTTCGTAAATAACTCATTATTGTTTTGTTATATTTATAAGATAAAAATGGTTACTATGGGTTATCCTTAGGAGATAGACATATACCATCGCGGACTGTTTTGTAGATCTTTTTAAGATATACAATGTCGTAGTACATTATTTTGGTCTACCTCGTAAGGGTTAGCCAGCGTTTGCAATGTAAGCGTACAAAAACATGTTTTTTTTTAATATGCTACTATAATATGCATGTATTATACATATAAACCCTCCTCTTGAATCACTCTCTCTGTTTGTAAAAACCGCAAAAAAATTCGTTGCTTAGTTTAAAAGATCCAAGCGTACAACACAAAAAACGACTTTATTTTATTACTAGCTGACCCGCGCAACTTCGTCTGCGTCTCTCAATAGCAATAAATTTTCTCCGTTTTTGAAACATTCTTCATTGGTGCTCCGCTCCTGTTGCTCTTAGCGTGATGATATATAGCCTATAGCCTTCCTCAATAAATGGGCTATCTAACACTGAAAGAATTTTTCAAATCGGACCAGTAGTTCCTGAGATTAGCGCGTTCAAACAAACAAACAAACAAACTCTTCAGCTTTATAATATTAGTATAGATATGTAAAGATTCAATACAACCATAATTTACCTTAAAAGTAATTAATGCTTTTTTTTTCATAGATGGCGGTTGCTCAGCAGTTACAAAAACTAGCGCGGGAAATAAATCACGATCTTCTGTGTGGTGTACCTTACGCAGCCCTCCCTATTGCTGCCGTTATGTCAGTCAACACAAACACACCAATGATTATGAAAAGAAAAGAAACAAAACTATACGCCACCAAAAAAATACTAGAAGGTTTATTTGAAATAAATCAAAATTGTTTAGTTGTCGAGGATGTAGTGACATCTGGTGGGAGCTTACTCGAAACTGTTGACACTTTACGTTCCGAGGGTTTGATTGTATCACACGCTGTAGTAGTTCTCGATCGGGACCAAGGTGGCGCTAGAGTGTTGAAAGAGAACGGAATCATTGTGAAACCATTGTACTCTATGACAGGTTTATTAAAAATGTTGAACGACGCCGGCAAGATAGATAGTGAAACTGTAGATATTATTCTAAATCATATTAAAGAAAGTCAGTTTAATACCGCTATGAAGGATAATTTAGAATTATTGTAACAAAAATTAAAACTAAACGAGGTAACCTAGAACTTTCTATATACATATAAATGATAATGCAAGATTCACAAAGTAGGTAGGTGATAAATTGCATTTGATATGTAAGTATCTTGTATTAAAGTATTGTTTATTTTAAAGTTACATGATTATTTACACGTAAGTCGTTTATCATAATATTGTGATCATAACTGCAAGTACAGGTGACGAATAAAGACATTTCTATGTTTATCAATATTGACTGCAAGGTATTACGCATATTTATAATGATATTTATAGACAAAAGCTGATGTAATAATAAAAACTTTTAATGTAATGACACATTTTACTAAAAAACTGATTATAGTAAGTTAGGAGGCAAATGTGAAATTTTAATTAAATTGATTTAATAATTTCAAGTCTTACTCGTGAAAGTCGACGGATAACTTCCCATTGCTTTGTATATTGCTGTATAATAAAATATATTATTTTTGGTAATAAAAAAATATATAACTACTGGTATAAATTCGAGTATGGTGATTAATTTTTAAAACTCGTCCAGGACCTGAATATGAATTCAAGGAGTTGCTTTAAAACAAGAAATACCTATCATTAATAATAGGTCTTTACCTATGAAATTGCCGTTTTGTATGCAATAAGTGAAAGTACTTATTTTTTCAAACTTTTTTATTTCTGTTATTCGAAGTAATCACCCATGCAATCGACGCATCTTTGCCAACGCATTGGCAGTTTATTGATGCCCTTCTTGTAGAAATCAGCTGGACGGGAGGCAACAAACTCTTCAAAGGCATTTTGTACTGCCTCTCGGGAATTGAATTTTTTACCCACTAAAAAGTTGTCTAAATTTTGGAAAAAGTAATAGTCGGAGGGTGCAAGGTCAGAATTTTTCAAATCGGACCAGTTGCTCCTGAGATAAGGCAAACAAACTCTTCAGTTTTATAATATTAGTAAATATAGATAACTAGGGTCCGACCGAAACAGGTTTTTCAGCCGAAACCGAAACTGAACTTAAGGCCCTTGTTTTAGCTTCGGCCGAAACCGAAACTCAAACTATCATTTGAACATCTAGATTGTTATCTGCTTATACCGACATATTAACTAAAACTACTGTAATAATAATAATATAATATAATAATAATAATTCTAAATAAGAGAAAATGTAAATAGGATGGTAGATAAAAAAAATACGTAGTTAGGTTCTAAGTACAGTAGAAATTCACATCACACTTTAATAGTCCACTGCTGGACATAAGCCTCTCCTTAGAAAGGAGGTTTTGGCCTACTAAACCACGCTGCCAGACAAGTTGGTATAGGGATTTTTTCAAGTTTTGCTTCTCTTTGCAGTGCTGTCGTCCTGCGTAGTTTGCTCCCTTAGGCCTACTTCCTACTACCTAGAAATTCACTTGTCCAAATTAACTAGATAGTTACCTCACGGAAAAGACATGGCTGACTAGGTTTTGAACGGACTATACGCGTTTTTAGGCCAGATGGAGTGACGATTTGCGCAAGATGGCTGGCAGGAGCTATATGCGAGAGGCCCAAAATCGATCTAAGTGGCGTGCAATGGGAGAGGCCTATGTCCAGCAGTGGACTGCGATAGGCTGATGATGATGATGATTATGATACGCGTTTTCTCATACTTAAAGTTAAGCAACTAAGATCACACGTGTATAGTTTTTTGAATGGTCAACCATTATGTACAGATAGGGGTACAGAATGTAATTCAACAGCAATTAAGTATCTACAAACAAAGAAATCTAATGGTCGTACTATAACGTGATACTCAAAAGTCCAGAAACGCTTGGTTTTCGCCCTATAAAACTCTTGTGTTTCTTGAGTTTTGAAAAACGTTCTGTAAATACAGCTTTTAGTTATGTCGGAATCTAAATCGAACATAATGTTTTATGTGTCACTAATATATGTATAAATAAAACTCAACAAAACGAATGTCAATGCCTAATAATTACCTTTTATATAAAACAATGTTAGAAATAAGTAAAAACAAAACAAACAGTATCTGTGGGGGGGCAAACCTTGGCATCTGCCCCGGACGCCATATTCAGAAGGCGCCAAAATCATAATATAATACGGTTTAACATGAAAAATACTTGCTCAACAAATCGCCTAGCATGCAGGGCACATTGAAAAAGTTTTTGAGTGATAGATATTAAAGAGTGCAAATTTATTAAAGGGTTCTTCTAAAAACGAATATATTATTGTTATGTCCCAATTATGAAAAATGCCAACCATTATATATATTTGTGAGTTTTTCAAGTTATTTATTTCAAACACTGGAGAGAGTTTCTGCCCCGGCTCGAAAAAATCGTAGATCCTAGCCTGAAAACAAAGACTCCCATAATTATTTATGCGCTAATAAGACGAGTCAATCGTGGGAGAGCCGAAGCTGAACGACCGAAGTGATGAGCCTCACAGAAAACCGGTCTTAACCAGTTCTTTCGTTGATTTTCACCGAGTGAAAGGGGTTACCGAAGCCCAAATCCTCCCCTTTCCACTGGTTCCGAGAGGAAGGACTGAAAGGGCGGCAATGCACTGGTGACTTTTAAGTTGCACTTACCATAATTCGACCCGTCTGCTCGCCTGCCCCATTACACCTTAAAAAGAAGATCGCACTGGACGGCGACGAATTAAGCCAGAGTTGTTGTCTACGAGTTAGCCACGAAGTTAACTGAACGAACTTTACGAATACTGAGTTTTGGTGCGGCCGTATGTTTTAGCTACTTTTGGCCTAAACCGAAACTGAAATCGAAGTTAGATTACTTGGCCAAAATGGCCGAAAACCTTCGGTCGGTCACTAATGAAAACATAAAATTAAGACAGACACAGTACCGTTTTGTTCTTTTGAATTTATAAAATGTGGGACACGCCGCATTTAGATTTTTGATGGCTAGTTATATGATAATATGAAATTGAATAAAATATTATTCACAAATCAGAAAAATCTTGTTTCATTTAATTATTAAAAAATATATAACTTAAAGAAAAATAAGTGGTCTTAGATGGATAGATAAATACTTTATTTGTACACCAGGGTTTTACAGACATTATAAAGTAATTAACAACAGATGTAATGTACAAAGGGCGGCCTTATTGCTTAGTGCAATTTCTTCCAGGCAACCTTTGGATGGATTCATTTTGAACTGGTGATAGGTATACAGATATTAGAGAAATAAGTAAGGTAACCTATGAAATATTTATCATAAATAAATCCTACCAATCTATATTTATACATAAATACTATACATACACACGTTAATATATACATACGTTAATATATACATACGCTAATTTCCAACTATTAGAGACAGATAATGCTCATATTGCATGGTCTTGGAGGTGGTTACGGATTGCGCACGTCTGATAGTAACCGGCAAGGCTTTCCATAAACGTACAGCTTCTAAAGAAAATGATTTGTGGTCTTCATCTGTGAACTTAAACTTATCATTATTTTCTGAATTACTTAGGTACTCACTTCGATAATAAAACGAAATAACTCTGTTCTAATTACACCCTAGATCTTTGAAAGCAGAAATCCAAATCCAAACAGTATATTTAAAATTGATTACCACAAACGACATTGAATAGTGAAAATTATAATAAGACCAAATTCCTTTGTTAAATGAAACGTAAAGAAACAAAAAGTTCGTTACCATTAAGGGAAAATATTAATTTGTCATTCGACCGTTGAGTTTTCTAGCCGTAACTGCTCCATGACACCTGGGCCTCAATTCTGGTATTTTATGTTTACGCCACGCCACTGTCATTCCATTGACAAGCTATTGTGATGCCACTGAGACGCCATTGACATCGGTCAAAATATCGACATTCTACTAACATGATTTCACAGTGTCAATAGACTGTCGATATAGTAATATAGGTCATCAATGGTGATATCAACAACATTGCCATAACTGGAAAATTAAATATATCATTTTCTTATAAATTTAAAATGTACCGTTTACCAAACTGTTACAAAGACATCGACGACATTAGTATCAGTGGCAAGTCTCTCGAAGACTTGCCATTGGTCTTACATTGTTAGTAGAATAGAAAAAGGGCAAAACTATTTCGACGACATTCCGTCGACAGTGTATTGATACAATACTAAAATAGCAGAATTGAGGCCCAGGTCCCGGTCATAATAGCCGAGTTCAGAAAACGACGCGAAACGGCGGTATGATCTGCCATCGAGGATTGGTTACATAGGCGACATGGTAGCAGACGTACCAGCTTACTCAATGGTTATTTCGTTGCATGTAGCTATTTTGAAAAATACCAATGTTTTATAGGCCTAATTTTAATGGCCGATAGGCCTCTGCGTGACACCTAAAACCATTGCCTAAAACGGCCAATGAACTTTTCATTTTCGTAGAGCGCCGCACGCATTACATACCTACTCTTTTTAAATAAATTTTCATAATATTTATTATCTAACCTAATTTTTTACCGACTTACAAAAAAAAGAAAGGAGTAAGTATTTTTATGTTCCTTCGGATCTAGGAGCACTGATGTCAGAAATCAATTATTGCTTTTACTGCGGCACGAGAACTGACAACTTGAGGAAAGTGGATGGAAGCTGATGGATATGGACTACCCAAGACCGGGATAGTTTACGCTTCTTGGGGGAGGCCTCCCTTCAGCAATGGACGGTAATAGGCTGATGATTATTGTGGAACGAAATGAACGAAATCAATCATCATTATTTGCCCGCATCTTAAGAATTGTAAATGTAAGACAAAATCCATGTATCTATAATACTCCTGCCTGTTTTAGAATTCGCTTCTTTGCAGGATTTGAACTGAATGTTGTGCTGAAGACTCCACGGATGGCGTAGTGGTCGCGGTCGCCACGCCGCTTTCTACTACGACGACACTTTGTGTGATCCACATTTTGTCATTCTGAGTTTGGGTGTTCTGTGTGTCCGTTTCATGTATGTTTGTAAAGTCCCACGCGACACAGGATATAGTCCTAGTGCGTGAGTTGTC